GGGATTTTTCTTCTTCTCGAAAAAGAAAACAAAAAGCGGTACTCGGTTTTGGAGGATTGCCATCAATATCCCACGACGAATCTTTCCTCTCCTCCTCTTCCATCCTCCTCTTGAGCTCGCTTTTCCTCCGCCGCGTTTCATCGCTATCGCCATCCTCAATGCGTTGTGTCGCCGTCGTCTTCTTCTTCTTCTCCCTCTGCAATCCTCTAACATGCACAGCCGACAAGTGCTTCAAATCGGGTGATCAAAATGAAAAGAGTCTGCAAGGCATCGCTCAATGTGGGGGGAGGGGGGGGGGGCCTTTAAACGCCGGGCGACGACTTGTCTGTCATCCCCTTGAGGACCTCGTCTATTCGGTCGTCTTCGATCACCACTGTGGAGGGGGAAGAAACTGCATTTTATTTGCTATATCTTTTTTTAAATTATTATTATGATTGATTCCAAGACGTTTCAAGAAAATGGGGAAGGGAATCTTAAAAACAACTGCGATGGGACTCCCCCAGTTTAATGTTGACTGCATCACAGGCATAAGGATGTAAAAATCAGCCACGCAATAAATACACTAGGCTGGTCTTTAAATGCATCACGAGATCACGTGTGAGGAATCTGACAAACAGTCCAAGTGACATTTAAAGACAAATTTTCCCGGAACTTGAATGCATCACGAGATCGCATGGAAACAGTATGATAAACAATCACGTGACAACATAAAAAAAGCAGGTCTCATGTTCCCGAATACGAGGTCGCATGTATCGTATGATAATCAAGTGGCCACTTAAAAAAAAACAAGAAAACACATGATCCTTGTTCCTGAATGCATCACAAAACCGCATATAAAGATCATGACAAAAAATAAAAAATGGCCAGTTTTGTTTAAAATGTTGCCGGTCCACATTGTAAACACATTTGTTCACTTGGATTTTTGTATTTGTAATTCATCTGACGAATAGTAAATTGGTCAAATATTTATAATGCTTTCCAAGATCGCACGTGAACCGCATAAGGCGGCAAAAAAAAAAAAGCAACCTGACGCCCGTTTACCTCGCTTGGCTCTGCCGATCTGGCCGAGCTTCGGGGGTCTCTTGCCCTGCGAGCCGGCGAAAAAGGCGTTTGTGTCCTGCAGTCCGCAGCTAAAGGACATTTGGCTGACCTCGCTGTCCGCCCCGTAGCCGCTCATTTTCCCCTCGTTGTATGGCAGCACCTCGGACATGTTGGCTGGCGGCAACAAGTAGGTTCGCGTTGTCCTCTTTGCAAGCCTTAGATCCCGTCGTGGCAGGGATGATCTATTGTTTTTTTTTTTGTTTGTTTGTTTTTTTTGGGGGGAGTGGAAGTCCTGATGGAAGACCCGAGGTTCGATTGCAGCTGTGAGTTGGGTAGCCCCTCGTTTGCAGCTGCAGTTGGAAGATGCGTGGACGTGGAATGAGTGCGTGCGCTCTTCTCCGTTGCTGGCTGATGTCTAGTGAGAGAGTAGGAAGATCCCGGGATCATAAAGGAAACCCAGGCGGAGCTGTGAAGTCATCCATCCGGGTTTGTGTGTGCTTGCGAGAGTGTGCGTGTGCGAGTGTGTGCGTGTGAGTGTGAGTTGTGGCGGTGCAACAGTGCCTTCAACAGGCGAGAAATGGAACTACGGAAGGAAAGGGAGGATTTCAAGCAGTTCTGTTGAGGCTTTGCTGTGTCAAAACAAATCAATGCTGATGCATTTTTGCTCATGATTTTACCCATCCATCCATCCATCCATCCATCCATTTTCTATACTGCTTGCCCTCGTTAGGGTTGCACGTAGGCCAGAGCCTATTGCAGTTAGACTCCAGGGGAAATACAGGCGTGTCCTAAGATACACATTTAATTTGTTTCTTGACCACGTAACCCGAAACACTTGTATCTCAAATCTTTGTTCCCCATTGAAATACATGGAAATGCTACTAATCCGTTCCAGCCTCTTAATCTGTTTTTCATGAGGAAATTAACACTTACTGCCCGAAGACGCCTGGGATAGGCTCCAGCACACCCGTGACCCCTCGTGAGAATAAGCAGCTCGGTAATGGATGGATGGATGGTTGGATGGATTAAAAATGTGTGTGTGTGGGGGGGCAGAGGGAAATCAGCAAATAGGTGAATCGGCAGATGCCGAGCTGCAAGTATGCAGAATTCAACGAGATCATTGAAAAATAATTAAAAACGTTTTTGTCTCACTTTCTTCTTGAATTGAATACAAAATAACAAACTTACTAAGGCCATAATGGGACTTAAACAGTTTCATCTGATCTGTCAAGAAGCATATGTTAATTCCTTTCTTGTTTTCCATAGTACAGGTAGTTGTTGAGTTGTTGTTCTGTGTTTTCAGTGTCAGTTTGAGGCAATCCAAACACTGCTTGCTTCTGAAATAAGATGCTGGAAGATCATATCACTTAAACACCGTCCAGTTTGCTAGCCCTGATGTCACGCCGATACGACAATGCTGCAGATAGCCCCACCCCCACCCCCGATGGCATGGCATCTTGAGATTGCTTCAATACTCAGAGATGCATTAACCAACGTTTCAGACCGCAACACTTTTAATTCTTTCATTCACACGGCATTCAGCCACATGATACACCATATCTCTCAGAGATGACACACTATTGTCTCCACTTGGACAGCAAACTCCAGCCTCCAGCTGCCAACCAGCACTTGATTCATGCCCGGGTTCAAACAAGGGACGGGTGTGATGTCATCGGTATGAGACACATGCCGTGCATAGGAGAGCAGGGGAGATGTTGACCTGCTTGGTGCCACAGGCATCCTTGCTCTCCTGTGTACCTTTGCTGCTCTGGAAAACAAAAACCTACGTCAGTTCCATTTTTATTGGACTCAGTCAGAGTCTCTGTGATTTACTCCCCAGCTTCTCTGCTTCCACTTTGGCAAGCAGTACACGTAATGATCCACCTCACTCAATCAGCAGTGCACAACTCTGACAAGGAACAAGAATGTGTGTGTGTGTGTGTGTGTGTGTGTATGTGTGTGTGTGTGTGTGTGTGTGTGTGTGTGTGTGCTCTCGAATCATTGCCTCCAATTACAAATGAATCACCGACATGCTGAGTCACTACCCAGCTCTCCCCCCTTCCTTCCAAAAAGCTCCTATTGATGCTATTGAGGTGGTAGCGCGCACACACGCACACACACACACACACACACACACACGAACGTTTCTGTTCTAAAGGCTGAGGAAAAAAAACAGCAATAACAAGCCAAGAGGGTGAGCCAAGTTCAATCCTGAGAGTATGTGCCATTATATAGGCTTACATTGCAAGGTTGGATGGGGGAGGAGGGGGGGGGGTGACACAGTAGAATTATCAACAAGTGAGGTAAGCATTTTTTTTTTCAGAAAAAGCCACTCCTAATGGTCTTTCTTATGGTGGGTGAAGTGGTGTGCAACTGCAAGCTATGATGCTGCGAATACTTTGATACTCTCTGACAAAGTTGCCTCATTCACCCAACGGCACACAATGATCAATGGTCTGAGTGACAATAATTCAGCATCAGGAGTAAGAAACCCACTATGGAACCATAAATCTTGTAGGGGAGCTACCACCCGAGTCACATTGCCCTTCATAAACCAAAAAAAAGTCACACTCACTGTAACGCAATGAATCTTTGCATGGGCTAATATTGCTGCATCGTGATGGGACTGAGCCCTGCTGCGAATAGCAAAAATCTGCCATGAATGGATGGCCTCATCTCCAAGAGATTCGTAATTACCTCTAGATGCCATAAAATGGTGGAGGTGTACTGCTTTTGTCCAAATGAAGGTCTTCAACTCACTTCAACATAGTTTATAGACATTAAAGAGGTGACGAAGCACGACTGAATGACCCTCAACTCATTTCAACATGGTTCCCGGGCACCAAGATGTCACAAAGTGGCAAAGCACAAAAAAAAAAAAAAAGCTCCTCAACTCACTTAAACAGAGTTGCTTGGCACCACATTGCCACAAGATGGCGAAATAGCACCACTTTTGTTGAAATGAAGCTCAACTCATTGAAGTATAGTTCCTTCGCACCAAGATGGTGGTAAAGCATTACCTTTGTCCAAATGAAGACCCTCAACTCACTTTAACAGTGTTCCTTGGCACCAAGATGCTACAACATTGGGGGAAAGCACTACTTTTGTCCAAACGAAGCATTTGAACTAATTGCAACATACTTCCTTGGCACCAAGATGACACCAAAAGCAATACTTTTATTCATTCTTACTCCGTGAGTGAACAGGGAAATTTGTGAGGTCACTCCAAGCGGGAACACTACAGTACTGTATATAAATGCTATCTATTGTAGTCGTGCCTGTGATTTCCTTTGCAGCAGGAACATTTGCATTCAGAAGGCACTTCGATAATTCTACAATGTTCTTATAAATGAAGCCCAGTGTGACGGCCCAGAGGGAGGCCAATGCCGTCTCGGTTTGTTGACAAGTGTTTTGTGTTTAAAGTAGGTCACCTCATCCCACGTCTCATCGCACGCCCTCAGCACATGGCTGACACCGGCAATTGGCATCAGACTGGCAGGCATGCCTTGGTGCCTCTCTCTCTCTCTCTCTCTCTCTCTCTCTCTCTCTCTCTCTCTCTCTCTAGAGGCACGGGCAACTCTGTCAAAGAGTCTGCTGATGCTGTCAAACATCCGCCCCTGCGCTGTCACACACAGACACACGAGCACACACACACAGTGATGGTGATTTTAGTCCAGTTGACAATGCATGACGCGTGATTTTTTTTCCACCTCACTGTGTATCTATAGCAACGGTTTGTCATGTTTACCTGAAAACACATAACATCATCCATCCCTCCCTCCATCCGTCCATCCATTCGTCCATCCATCCGTCCATAATACAAGGCAAATTAAAAATTCGTTTTTCCAAAAGGGCCCTGTCAGTCACAGGCACTTAAAGTCGTCATCACTCCCATCTTAAATTAAATGCTTTGCTTGTTTGTTAATGGCCTGGCATCTCGAATGTTTATTATTCTGCGGCACAAATCCAAATCCAGAACTTTTTCCAATTAATCTCCCACCAAGATAAATGGCCCAAAGGAGCACACTTATTAATTGCCACCGCCCGCACTGCCACCGTCAATACGAATTTAGGGTGTACGGCCGTGAAACTGCTCCCCATTAGAGAATAATCACGTCGTCCAAACTGTTTGTCAGCCATCAGACAGAATTAAAGAGCGTTTCAAAGTGTAGATAAATTAAATGCGACTCGGCTGGAAAGCCTCCATTGGCTTCTCCCTGACAGGTTGTTTCACTCTAATATGAAGAAATGCTACCTCCTAGTGGTAGGAGAGGAGAGCGATTTCATTTCTCATATTTTCATGTGGAACTATCTGGAGTTTTCAGGGACGTACTTTCATGACCATTTTTCATTCACTCGTTTTTTTGGTGAGAGTTTTTTGGGGTGAGTGCAACAGAATTTTGGACCGTGTTGTGAGGGTTTTTGTTACGTGAAGAGATTTTTTTTCCGTCCCTTTGTATTATGGGATCAAATAAACACTGAAGGCTAGCATTGAAAAGAGTGATTTTGTTTTATGAGCAAAATACTTAACACACTTCCACCTGTCGTCAAAGTTGATAGGGAAATACTTGCAAGTCATTCGATTTGGCAATCGGCTCCAGAACAAGTGGACCCGCTAGCAATCTTTTCTGATTTTTCTTGTCACGCAAATTACATTCACACACGAGCTAAAGTATGATCTCAACATCGTAAGTCAAATCAGTCAAATGTACCATCGTTGTTGGGCTCAAAGATGAGAAACACAACCAAAGTAGAAATGGCAGTTGCACTTGCACATGAAAATTAAGTCGGTGAAATAAAACACTCAACGATTCAGTTTAAAACGAGTATTAATGAACATGAACAGCGGTGAGTAAATCATACAGTGACCTTTAAATTCAAACATGTACATGAAGTCGTGTTCCAAAATTGCATCTGCCTGTTATGATCGTTGCCTAGCAACGCGATCTCTGCACACTAAACGCCAGCCTTAAAATGGTGAACGACCGCAAAGCTCTACCCGCGGAAGAAAATACTTTTTTTTTTTTTGGCTTAAGTAAGTGTATATAGTAAGGCGTTTTAGTCGAAAAAAAACGACCATGTATGGTCAGGCGTTTTTAGCCGAAAAAAAAACGAAAAACGCAGAAAAAAAAGACCATGTATAGTAAGGCATTTTTAGCCGAAAAAAAACCGACCATGTATAGTAAGGCGTTTTTAGCCGAAAAAAAACGAAAAATGCCAAAAAAAAACCGACCATGTATAGTAAGGCATTTTTAGCCGAAAAAAAACGACCATGTATAGTAAGGCGTTTTTAGCCGAAAAAAAAGACCATGTATAGTAAGGCGTTTTTAGCCGAAAAAAAAACCGACCATGTATAGTAAGGCGTTTTTAGCCGAAAAAAAAAAGAAAAACGCCGAAAAAAACGACCATGTATAGTAAGGCGTTTTTTGCCGAAAAAAAAGACCATGTATAGGTAGGCGTTTTTAGCCGAAAAAAAACGACCATGTATAGTAAGGCGTTTTTAGCCCGAAAAAAAACGACCATGTATAGTAAGGCGTTTTTAGCCCGAAAAAAAACGACCATGTATAGTAAGGCGTTTTTAGCCGAAAAAAACGACCATGTATAGTAAGGCGTTTTTAGCC